CGCAGCAACTGAAAGCTCGTCCAACTACTCCTTCCATGTCATTTCCGTCATGGTGATCTCGTAAAACCTCTATTTTCACTACTTTTGAAGAACCTTAATTTTTCGTCAAATTGAGGAGTTTTCCCACTTTCTTCACCACCGATGCACCATTTCCATTCTTTCCTCTTTTCTACTTAAAGTGGTACCTCGAAATTATTATGAACTGTACTTTTAATCGTTGCTCAATTGCCGCTTAACTGCTTGCGAATCATAGAGCTACCCACAGGCAGAAATTCCTTCCTACACACGCAGAAATATGGCCCAAGTCTGGTGGGATTGAAAGGAATCCCTTACGACGGGCTGATTGAAACTAACAAGACCGTGGACCCTACGAGCTGAGCAACTGCGGCGTCTCAACGATGCAATCCAGATGAAACTGCTGAACCGTCAAGGCGATTTCATTCTCCAACATGACATTGCTCGCTCGTACATCGGCAACATCACGTGGACCACTTTGGAAGAAGGCAATTGGGAAGTGAACCGCACCCGGCACACCCCACCAATTTGGGCCATCTGATTTTCACCAACCGCTGTCGAATGCTCCAGATGGTGTCACTCTGAAAATTGGTTTATCTTTGGGGAGAGGTTAGGGGCAATGACGGAGAATATACCACATCGTTGTTGCAACCACATCTTTATTAGTTTCCCAATGGGAAATTTCCAAAACAATGTCGTCATCGTTGATAACCCGTTCTAAATAAGACGGGCCGGAAATTTGAACGCGATCACAACAAAAAGCAGTACTAGCATGCTTTCAAGTAGAGCCGAAGGAATGCTTCTCGAAGATATAAAAACTGAGCCAATAGCAAGGAATTGAGAGGAGGAATTCCTGTTCAATTTAAGCTTCATGGGTGATATGCAGCCAACGAAAGAATCGACGAAAAGGAGAAGATTAAAAAATAAGTCTTGAAACAAAACGAAACATTGCTGGAAAACGTAATTGCTGAAGGTTAGACGGAGTTTCTGACCAAAATTTGGTTACATGCTGATAGGTTTCTTTCAAGAGATAATGGAGTTTGATCCAGATTAGGCAATATTCCGATGACCGAAGCTCCCTTCCTCTATTCTTGAACTTCGAAAGATCGCCAAGTTTTATGAAAGCGGTACCCATCTCTTCGCAGTTCAGGCGATTCTCTGTCTCTGTCTCTGATATATGAACTGTTCAAAACAGCATGGAATGAAAAGACATTTTTCGTCTGAAAAAAATGACACTACTTATGAGACAACGTATATGTCACGGAGTAGCTATCAGACACGTGGCCCCCAAAATTTTGGATGGGGGTCGGGTGGACGGACACTTCAGGCAAATTGGTCAACACCAGAAACTCAAGTTCTACCTTATTTGGAAAAAGTCGGGAGAAGTATGAAAATGCTTCGAAGAAATGCTTAGTGTTTCCTCCGGAGAACCATTTCACTGCCGTTTGAAAATGATTTTTGCTGCCCCCCCCC